GTCAAAATATGAAAACATTTCATTTAAATTGTTATTTTGATACCTTATGAGCAATAAACGCAACATCAAGCCAGATTTTTCCTCCTTACCTAGAATGGAGATATATGCATAGTGCATGCGTTACATAATTCGTATAAATAAGTACAATCTTGTCAATTTTGACCGTTAACTAGATTTCCTACCCCTGATTTCTAAGTCTATTTTATTATTATTATTATTATTATTATTATTATTATTATTATTCTATCTTATGCACCCAATAGAAAGCTCAATATTTAAAAAAGAATAGTTGGTCATTTACATTGCAATCGAGGCATGAAACAATATAGGAAACATATTCAACTTTTATTATTGAAATACATTTCTGTTGATTTCATATCACAAATGAATTGTTTTTGCATTGCAAACTATTGTTATGAATTAGTTGTAATTATACTATAACTCATTCTTAGGCCAATTAAAATGAAATTATAAAGAGTCTTTTCATCACTGTACAAAAACAAGCCAAAACCCCCTTTTTAGGGGACAATTTCACGATTTTTAATATTAATTGTTGTCTGTAAGTTTAAATATTAAAAAGGAACCGAGCTACAAAACATTATATAGATAATCGTGGTTTTACCTATTATAAATATGATTTTAGAATTCATACGTATATGTAACATACATCGTCCACTAGTCTAAATGACAGTTATTTAAATAAATGCTTATGACTGGGGTTATAACCACAATTTTAATATTTGGTTTAGGTGGGATTTCAATGGATCAGAGAAACAGAAAGTGGAAGCCATGAAATATACATTCGAGTGAAGTCCTATTCAATGACTTACAAAAGCCATACAGGTATGAGCCATACTTTTGAATTTGTTTAAAAAATAGTCAACAATGTATGGTAAAAGACAACTTATATTATTTTTATTTATGAAGAGCATAAAGAACCCAAGTAAATTGTGTAACAGTAAGTAAACTTTTAAAATAAAATGTTATAAAATAATCTTTATATTCTCTGTAGTTTCGGATGACGAGATGGACGTCGAGTTTGATAATTGGTGCGTAATTCTTTTTGTAAATATTTTAAGACAATATGCCCACTAAGTGTTTACAGTGCATAGCTTTGTTTCTGTCCGTTTTTTCTTTCTTTTTTATAATTCAATTTAAAATTACAATCATATGTACGATGCCCATTGAAGTAGTAATAAAAACCGGATTATATAGACATGTTATTTTAAGTACTTTTCTTACTAAAGTAAATTGTAATGTTAGAAGATAGTGGTTGTGTTTGCAGTAAAGTGCATAACACATAACCAAACAGTACCATTTTTAATTACGCACTACAATGAAATATAATTTGGCATTTACATAATACTCTAATTAAAATTTTAAGTAATTATACAAACCAATTTTTGTTTCATTAGGTTTTCGTTCATCATGGATGACAATGGTGATGTTCTTCGAGTAATATATCCGGAACACGATGACATGAAGTCAGTTAATATCAAGAAAGGATTGGCCGGAATCATTGCAACCAGACTTCATCATGAGGATTTCGTAAGTATAACATAGATTTGTTTCTTCTTACTTTAATAAGAACAAAACATTAACACGAGACAATTTAATTTAAACATTAAATTTACACAATAATAAATATAAAGACATATAAAAGGGAGAGGGGCAACATTAAATACATTAATTTTTTTATAAGTAACCCTACTGCCCATTCCCCCCCCCCACACCTCCAAAAAAATCAACAACATGTTTATTCGGCAATCAAATTTACAGAAAATGACGTTCTGTAGGGGAATCCATTCGAAGTAGCATTTACTATAGTGTAAAGTTCATTAGAATACATACATTTATATATATACATTTATATATACCGCAACGCATTATCTGAAAAAAAAAAACGATTATGTGTGTATGTATTATATATTTTGTATAGTGTGACCTAAATTAATATTATAAACAATAAATATCTATGACATAATAAAAAAAAAAGAATCATTCTTGATTTCACAGAAATTTCCCAGTGGTTCGTCTAGTTGGTCATTCAATTCAACGGAACGTGACCATACAGGCCATCATCATGCTAATTACACAGTGTATCAAAATGAGCATGGCGATATTCAAATTCGTAAGAAAAGAACAGCTCATGTACATCCGAAGAAAATTCACTTCTATCATAATAAGGTTAGTTTATATTTAAAAAATATATATATATATACTTCAATTTGCAACATGTCAGCCTAGTTACCATATTTCCAATTTGTTTGTTTTCTTTTAAATAATGGTTATGTAAGTATGTATTGGTAGCACCCCTGATTGGGAATCTAAAAAATTAATATTTCACAGGGAAGAAAAAAATCATTGTATGTAATTTTTACAAATTATGATTTAAATCGATTAAGTATAGAATCCTAAATTGCCCGAGCCTCTCTTTGTATACCGTAATTGTTTTTTTTTTTTTTTTTTTTTTGTTATTTTCTTTCTTTCTTTTTTGTTACATTTTAATTATGTAGTATTTATACTGAATGAGGCAATTTTAGAATTTTAGTAACAAAAATAGCATTCAAATATTGATCAGAATTAAGATCTTCTTTTCTTTTCAAGCGCCATGGACACGAAGTTTTGTATATAATGATGATGGACTGAGCCGTTGTTATCACTACTATTATTATTATTTTCATCGTTATTACAATTATTAACATCATTGTTATCATTAACACCGCTATTATAATTATTATGGAAAGTTTTTGGATAAACGCACATTAGTGCTGCAGGCTGATGCGCATTCTGCTGTGGTTGATCAGGCCGAGACGTGAATGGCAGCGACGCTGACAGACAGAGCAGACAAAATTTGCTGGCGTTGAGCGGCGTAACGGGCTAAGCGTGTTTCTTGGAGTTCCTTGATGCGCAAATCCTCAAATTTCTTTACACTAGCACAGCATATGGATCGCAATCCTGAGCGACTGAGTGCTTGTTTCTCCCAAGTGCTGGATTGGATTTCGCAGGCTTTCACTAATAATATTAATGGAGATGCTTGCCTTCCAATCCCAAGGTCTTGGTTCAAATCCTGTGACATTCAGGATTTATCTCACGACTAAAAAACATCTACACTCTCTAAGCATTGTAATGAGACTTCGCTGATAAAGCATCGCATTATTTCAACTATTTAAAAGAGCCCCTGAATATCAGTTGACCTTCTGGGATACTCTGGAAGAGCAACCCTCTACGGTAAAAAAAAAAAAAAAAAAAAATATTATAAATGAATTTTATCAATTCTTTATAGATTAATTACAACTTATTTAAACAAATTTTAACATATATTTTTTTTTTGTAAAATTCATATATAGGAAGTCAATATTAAATCCGGAATGACGGTTCCTCACTTGATACAAATAAATGAGGAAGTACCACTCGGTGGAAGAGATCCTAGGTAAGTTATTGTCTATGCAAGGTGTATATTATAATGTCGGTTATCACTTGAATTTGGGGTTAAAGTGCTGTGTAAACAAATTTAGGGTTAAAGTGCTATGTAAACAAATAGGCATTATACCGGCTATGAAAATAAATGGAAATGAAAAAATGAATGAATGAATGGATGGATGGATGGACGGACGGACGGACGGATGGATGAAATATCCGTCGGTTTTTCTTTTTTCTACGCCTACTTTGTAAATGGATAAATATCTAGCAGAATTTTTGTATTCACTGTCAACTAAAACGTATGCACAACATTTCTAAGTCATTATAATTGTACACTTACTTTTATTTAAAATATGTGCCCTATATTGTTTGAATAAGAAAAATTCTTGAAAATAATAATTTTACAGACGATATAAGTTTTACCGGAGGCGGTACAATTTGCCTTTCAATTATAGACCACTGTAATTCGGAAAATTCTCTTCTTTGTGACCGCTAATTGTCTAACTGAAGGCCGAACCCTAGACCAATTCATATTTTCAGGTCTCAAATGCGGTCTCAAATTGTAGAGTGAACTGTACTATTAAATTTATTATCAACAAATCTTGTTCATGTATTATAGTGAGGGGGCCGGCACTAAACATTTTGAGCCAATAAACAAACCGAAACATATCAACGATGAACAAGAATCATGTAAGTATGCCTTTGTGAGAGGTTGTATTTAGGTGCACAAAATACAATGTGCCCAACATGGCAATTAATAATTAATTAGGAAACACATTTAATAATTTGATCAAAAGTAAACTGTCCTACTACTACTACTACTACTACTACTACTACTACTACTACTACTACTACTACTACTACCACTACTACTACTACTACTACTACTACTACTGCTGCTGCTGCTACTGCTACTGCTACTGCTACTGCTACTGCTACTGCTACTACTACTACTACTACTACTACTACTACTTACTACTACCTACTACCTACAACCTACTACTGCTACTACTACCATTGTACTACTGCTATTGAACCACTACTGTACAGCAGCAACGGGGCTATATTATGCACATATGAAATAGTGGTCTTATATTCTGGTTTTTTTTTTTAACTTTTCGTTACACATAGACTTAGTTTAAGAAAAAAAAGATAGTAGGCCTATTCACGAGAGTACCCATACTAATACATGACAGTAGTTCGATATATGTCAACTTGCAATGTTTTCTAGTGCCAGATATGAGTGTCTATGCTGATAGCCAAATGCGTTTTTTATCATCTATTTCGATGTCGACACCCCAAAGACCAGATAACCTTATTGAAGATACAATAGAGGTCAAAAAGGTAAGGGGTTCATGGTACATTATAATTAATTTGACTTTACTTCTTGCATGTTGAGCAAACCAAATTTTACTAACACAATTACTGTAGGTAAATAAAATGCAAGTTTGTTCGTTACTGTTAAACATCAAAATAAACTAGGCCTACTTGTATCTTTACAAAACCTATAGTTTTTTTGTTTTTGTTTTTTTAAATATTATTTTAACAGTTCATATAGGCATATTATGTTAGTTAAAAATAACAAGACTGTTTTATTGGAAATGTTTCTTATAATCAAATAGATTTAAAGTTTAAGATACACTATTTCTTTTCTTTACCTAATAATATTATTTTGTATTTAGGGCTTCGATTTTCATGATCAGCCTTATGTGGAGGAAGAAGTTATGCAACATATCAAAGGGAATCTGACATGCCTTCGAGAACTAACTCTTGATAAACGTAATGTGTTTAGCAAAATGAATATGAGTAAATCATTGAATTTGTTAACCTAAAGGTTCTGTAATCAAACATAGAAATGTGGCGCCAGAGGGTGGCGGCGGGGGTGAGGTGGCAGGGCTTCGTCGGGGAGAGAAACCCCCGTCGGGGAGAAAAACCACAATTTTTCGGGAGGAAAAAATATGTATTTTCTACATATTAGAGACTCCAAAATCGATTAAATAAGCATTTGAAAGCCCTAAATGTGGCAGAGCCAAGCCAAAGGAGGGTTTCCAATAAATGCGCAAACGTGAAATCGCATACATATTAAACATTTAACTTTTATCCTACATTTATCTTTCTCTCATTTATAATCGATAAATGCTCTAAAAATGGTATTTAAGAGAGCTTGTCCTAGCGTACAGACATAAAATCTGATTTTCAAAGCCAGTTTTCTCAAAATACACTTACCATGTACCCTAACTTTGATTGCCCATAGCTTCGCCATAAACTATCATATCAAGGTGATTTTTTTTTTCGAATTTTGAAGATAATAATGTTTAGTTTCATATTATGTACAACACACAATTTTGAAAATTCGACTTATCCTTCCTTTGGCTTGGCTCTGCTACAAATTTGCAAAATTTTTGGGGGCTTCGCATCCTGGAGCACTTTATAAGCATTTTAAGCAACGCTCGCCCACGCCCACTTTGCTCTCGTCCGGAAAATCTTCCCCCTTGTCGTGGACATCGTCCTCCCTGTCGGGGACATCAGAGCTCCCGTCTGGCAAATCCCGGCGCAACCCATGCATAAAAACCACCGACATGATATTTTCCGTTGCTAGTGTTGACACATGCGAAATATATTTTATTGGAATTATTCCAAAAAAAAATGATTCTGACCGAGATTTTGACAATTAAACAAACATATCTCAGTCCTTCTTGATCGACCACGGTGTGCGAGATGCGAAGTACAAAAACTAATCTCATTAGAGAGGGCGAATTTTATTGACTGTGTAAAGTATATACACAAACATGAGAGTATTCCAGCGGATGCGATCTACAACCTCTTTTAAAATTTGCCAAGTATAACGATTAAGTCGTCTAGAAAATGGTTAATCTCCTATGAGAAATAGTCTGTATTTCTCACTTTTGTTTTTTTTTTTTTTTTTTTGTTTTTTTTTTTATCCTTTTAAGTACAAATAAAATTTTTATCAATATTTTTCCATGGTTGATAATAATTAAAATAAAGTATATGCATTTTTTCTATTAAAAAAATCAGTTTTTAGTAAAATTTTGCCGGAAATGGGGATTTAAATCTTCTACCAAAACAGACACATTAAATGTTCTTGACTTCATATTCATGAAAAATTAGAGCATGTAATCAATCAATATTTGCTGATTACTTGGAACTACCTAAAATCAGTATAGGTAATACACAAAAATGTTAAAATAAGCTGATGTAAAGTCTAAAAAAAGTTATTGATACAAATTAATTGAGTTTATGATACACAGTTTTTATGTATAATATTGAAATTACAGTTTCCAATAAAAATAACATCTGCTATGGAGGACTCACTTTAGCGTTGGAAACATTGCCATACAAACTTGTAAAGGACATTGGGGATCAATATTTTAATAGACCTTTGAGGTTAGTTCAGTCGTCAATTTATTATTTAATCTGTCAGTCAATCGATAATTTAATCGATCAGTTAATCTATCAATCAATCAATTAAGTAATCAGTCAGTCATTCGGTTTGTCAGTCAGTCAGTCAATCATTTATTCAATCATTCATTCATTCAATTAATTAATTAATCAATCAATCAATCGATCAGTAAACCAATTAAATCAATAATAAATCGATCAATCAAGCAATCGTCAGTCAGTTGATCAGTCGGACGGTCAGTAATTTATCCATCAATCATTAATCAATTTAATGACCCAGCCAACAAACAAACAAATCTAACCAGGGAACAGTGTTTCACTGTTCCCTGATATAACAATTATAACAGCTAATAACGGTAAACTAAAACTAAACAAAATCTAAAGGAAAAATATTTTTCAATAATATTGATATTGATTTATCATTACTATATGCCTATAAATGCTTAAAAAATCAAAATGCAATGAAGGACAAATTATGCTTTAAACTGAAAAAAAATCCTATCTCGGAAATGATTCATGGTAATGGTAATGGTAATGGTTTGGGACTTGTAAAGCGCATACTACATGGTCTCTATGCGCCTAAGTTACACGAAAGAAAACAAACCAAAAACTAAATCCTAAAGCCTAACCAAGTGACCTAAGAATTAAAAAAAAGCATGAGAAAACAGACTATCACAGGGGAACCAACATCACCGCACCGTTTTCCTGCAATTTGAGACCACAGGCAAGGAGTGGTTTGCAGGATCATAACTCACAGATGCTCAAGTGATTTTGGCATCTAGACTAGCCTATCCTAGAAAAACTAAACGATGGAAGTAAAACAACAAAGTTAAAACTACAACAACAAAAACAACAAAATGACAAATTAATAGACTAATGTAGATAACGAGTTCGTCTGTGGGTGTGTGTGTGTGTGTGTATGGGGGGGGGTCAGGTGTGCGTGTGTGTGTATCATTCTGGTGTCTATGTGTCTGTGTACCTCCGGGCTCATAAATCAAAAACTATACCGTGACCAATTTCATTAAAATTTTGTTTAAAATGCTGTTGTCATAGCACCACTGGAAATTGCATCTGCCATGGATGTTGGTTAATGATTGATTGATTAATTGATTTATGATTTCTAACAGTTCAAGTTTTTTATATTTTGTAACTGTGTTTCTTTGCTGAGGTCAAATAAATATACAAAATATTAATTGTGTTTTTTCCTAAGCAACAATCGAGATGTGATAGATCGTAACTATCTATTAGATGCAATTGCGGGGATTCGAACTAACTACAATCAGGAACTTTTAACTGAGCTGGTTCTAAACTCTCGAGCACCAGATGTTAAACTAATGATTCGTTTTCTGGAACATATACCCTTCTTTCAGAATATAAAATCACAGGTATGACAAATCTTATCTATATATCATTTATAACCATAGCAGTCACCCCCTAGATTGCATACACCCGCCATGTGCCTGGATACTGAATAATAGGCCTACGCATGCCGTGTGTTCAGGCAATTTCATTATTTGCTTTTATGCCCAAGGGTAAAATATCGAATATCATTGGCCTTGATTTTCTTTCCAAAATTAGTCATCTTATTCTTTGATGATGATGATCCATTCCTTAGACAGACAGACAGACAGCTGTGAATTTATAACTTCCTTTGAGAAGGTAATAATTATTGTGACTAGTTATACATTACACGTGGTATAATGTTTATGTGTTATTATTATTTTAGAAAATGATTGATGCGGTTGAGAAGTTAGCAATCACAAAATCAAAATATAAAGGTATGATAGATAAATTAAATTGATCTTTTTCCATTTTTGAGAAGGCTAATTATTTTTTCACATTTTTTTTTAAATGCGGAGTTTAGATAATTATTACTGTACATACACGGTACGTTTTTACATTTCTTGGAAGGATAATTATGTTACTTACAGCTATCTGAACTAGATTATTAACAAATTTAAGGATGTGTTAATGATTAGAATTTACTGACCTGTAGATAAAATATACAATTTTAATATAATTTGCCTAAACATTATTATTTAAGTTTGCACTATTATGGGGTTTTGTATGTATTATTTACATCTTACTTATTTTTCGTTTTCATGGAACTAAACTTTTGGTTAAATATAGGTTCTCCGGAAGCAGTACGATTACGAGAATTAGCCACATTCATAATTGGTGCCATTGCCAAGATTTTGCAAGATGAAGGGCGAAATGATGAGGCGGAGAAAATAGTGAAGAAACTCCATACAAAAGTTGGAATATTTGGTAATTGTTTTATGTTGTTTTTGGGTTGGTAAATTGCTGTATCGCTTCGACTTTTCTTAAGAATGGACATATTTCTCCCTAAAAATATAATAAAGTTCTTGCACTCCGAACTGACATTCTGCTGTATTGGTGACCACACCATACTCGTTAAATCGAGTAAACATAAGTCGTAGGTGACACTCGCGATCGTATGAATTATAGCTTTCAAAAGATCGTCGATATAAGCATAGCAGAAATCGAGTCTATGATTAACTTGATCAATGGGTGGTTGGAAGTCCGAGTAGTATTTCGTAACCCAATGGCATCCTTAGAAATTCAAATAGTCCAAATGTAGTGATGATCACTATTTTGGGAATATCGGTTTGTTTGACAGGGATTTGGTGGTAAGAACACACAACATAAAATTTGGAGAATATCGTGGTGTCATAAAGGGATGTTGTGAAATTTGGCATGTAAAGTATTAGAGAGTGCCCGGTAGTCTCCACATGGGCGCCTATCGTTATATGTGTTTTCTTTGGAATCATGTGGAGAGGTGACGGCCAATTACAGTCAGAGCGACGAATTATTCCTGGCTGCATTTTGTGTTCGAATTTTTACAGCGATCTGAAGTTAGGTGACGAGCACGGGCAACAACTGGCGAATCTTTGGTTTTATTATAATGAGTGACGTATTTCAGAGGCCCATCCTGGGGTAACACTGGTAAGTGATCGAGCGGACGTGATAAGACGTAAAATTTTCAAGGAGAACCTACGAATGCTCAAATTAGTTGTGATATTAGTCTTTTATGAGTCGTATTGACTAGCAGTCCAAAATACCTTAGTAAATCTGCAACTATGATCGCATACCCAACATTGGCGACGACAAATATCCATTGTGCTTACGAATGTCTAATGTAATCGACATTTGCCCATGTTCTGAAATGACGGAATTGTTAGCAGCGGTTAAATTGTAAATTTGTGGTGTCTATGTATTCGCACATGACGATCTGGTGGAAAACGGTAGCTTTTGTCCCAGTGTCAATGAGGAAGCGTGGTTTGGTAAGTTTGATAACAACACAGAAAAGGCGACTTATGGACGTGACGACCAGCAACATTTGTTGCACTTTTGCTGGCTATGTCATTCCCGAAAGATTATGAAAATGCTGCGTTTGTGGTCATTTTATGGTTTATTGAACTTACTAGCTTGCTAGAGTGGCTGCTACACATTATAGAACTTGGAATTGAATTGTAATGATAATCTAATATTGATCTAATCGGATTGTTTACACATTTCAGATCCGTGGCACCATCGGCAAAGAAGGTCGACAATGTCCCGCGATACTTTGGATAGATATGAAAGAGACGTTGTTATATTAATTGGGGCTTTAGGGAATGCAGCGCATCCGACATCGGCAGACTGCATCTTGAGTTTTGCAAATTCAACTGAAGCTCCTAAACATTTCCAGGAGTCCGGACTGTATGCTCTTCGTCACTTTCATACACAACAGGTTAGATTTTCTTTAGTATTTAAACCAAGTCGCTTTAGCTCAAACTATGATTTGATTATTTCTGACATATTTTCTTTATCTATTTACTAGAACCGTCTTTATATTTTTACTTTTTCATGCAGGCTGCCGATGCGCTTGTTAATGCTTGGAGGACAGAGGAGAATAGAAGCTATAAGCAGACGTTTAAAAAATTATGCAAAGAGAATCCTGCTGCATACAACCTAGCAATTATGTAAGTAGGGTAATTACAAGAAAGAAAAAAACAACAAACAAATCACATGAAAGATGTCAAAAGAAGTAATATATAAAAAATAAAAATCGGTCCATTTATTTCCAGTTGACTTTATAGATAATGCATCAAACCTCTCATAAAAATAGGGCAGTATATATTTTTATATAAAATATCAAACCAAGGAAATTAATAATTAGTAAGTAAACATTTCTTTTGCCATCGTAGGACGGAACCAAGCTTTAATGATGTCGAGGTAGAAACAGACCAGTCATATAATCAGACAGCACCTATTCATAACAGAGATAGACGGTCCATAAGAAATTCATATAATTTGCTAATACCAAGACTAGATCACCAGACTGAAGACAGTGTAGGGGATTCATTCATTGGTGCAAATTACGGTGGTATATCAAGTAGCCTCTTGAATATTAATTCAGGTAGCCATATTTGTTATATTGTATATAATATTTTGACATTTTATAACCAGAAGAAATAAATGATAGAAATATCGCATTCTATCCTATCTGAATTAAAGTAAGGTTATTACTAAAAAAAATCATTTTCTTGTTTTGATTACCAGATCCACAAGCAACTACTGCAACAAATGATTTTTCTCTGGAAGGCTCATTCGGGTTTCTACTAAGAATGTTTTCACCCTTCGAGAATTTTCGGGCAACTTACCAAGAGTCCCACCTGCATTTAAAATCGTCATATAATATGAATGTACTAAAGGTGAAGCAACCAATTATTAGATTCAGATTCAAGTTACATATATTTGACAATCATTTAAAAAAAATATAACAATAACATACCGTAAGCAATTTCAAATAATATATACGATATTTTTTTTAAATTGATTAGTGAATAAAATGAATACTGAAAGACTTGTGTGTTACAATTAGTTGCATAGTTTTAAAATCTAGTTGCACAAAATAATGAAAACGAAACAAAGAAGGTAGTAACATTGTTTTAGATCTGAATGTTTTTTATTGTATCAACTAATGATTTTTTTAGTAATCGTGTTTATATTGTATGTATATCTTTATATTGTTTTAAATAATTCAATATTATTAAAGGACTATGGGGTAAACGTATTGCCAAACGCCGTCAAGCGATTAGATGTTTTACTAGCCAGTCTTATACCGGAACTGAGAGATGCTGTCAACGCAGTAATAAGTGATTTGAACCTTGGAGTTGATGAAGCTGTCCAAACACTCGTTGACAGATATAGTGAATTGTTGGCTGATATAACGGTAAGTCAAGTAGTTAAAAAATATAAGAAAATTTTCAGTATTTTAAAGACTAATATAATATGTATAAGCTTTAGCTTTTGTCCACACAGTGATTTCATCTGGAGACTGCGTGGGCGAAAGCTAGATATTTAGTCTTTCAAGTGCTGAGATTTGTAATTTCTTATACTGTTCTGTAGCAGACTAACGCCGCTATATTTTTATTCATCGTATTTTTTAGTATAACTGTAAAAGAGTTCAAACAGCAACATTTCAATTGGAATACAATGAACTCAAAACGTTATGTATCTTGTGCTATGGTAGCAAAAGTTCTAATCCACCATGTACAAAGCCAATATGCTAGAAAACAACCTTATTGAATATAATTCGCGTTTCTCCAATCACAAACACACACACACTATCACACATGAATTTGTCCAAATGTTACTAACAATTAGTCGTTTAAATTGGGTTTCTATTAATTTGAAAAAAATAAAACTTGCCACTAGTAAATCGAGTGAATCATTTGATTATGTTCTTAAATTGAACATACACTTCTCAAAATGGTCCTCACCTAATCATCATCTTCTGTACATTTTCACAAATTGGGTACTATATTCCACAAAAATAAATTTTATTTTAAAGATTTTTATTATAACATATCACAGAGTATGACTGTTGCTGATCTTTTGGATGAACTGGAAATCATACACCTTGAAATGGTTCCACCTGAGATTAAAAGCGCAGTTTATTTAGTACGAAGTGGAGACCAACTGATCGCCGATACTAGAGCGGATATTATTGAATTTCTAGAGGTAAATTTATTCATTTCACCATGAGCCTACTGGTCATTAATATATACGGTATGTATTGTTAACTGTTTCATACAATTAAACACTCGTCAATTTACACTTAACATTTTCAAGTAAATATTCTAAGCCCTTCGTAGGATTACATTTAATTTTGAATTAATTTGATTGCTTAATAACAATCTAACTAATACTTATGTTAAACTTTGCAGGGTTTTATGGGTGATCTGCTTGCCGGACTACCTTGGGATGTTGAACAAATTTATAAAACTGTGAAATCTATGAAAAATATTATCAACAAATTTCATGATGATCCGAAGGAGGCAATAGCAGATTTATTAAAGATGTTTGACAAGTAAGAAAAACAGGACCAAATGTGTAACTCGTATTTGTCCTTACTAACTCTGTGTATAATATATGTATGTATCAATAGGCATATAATACATATATGGCGATACATACACTCATGTATAAATAATGTCATATGATGAAACTAATGATGCAAAAATCTGATTGGGATAGTAGAATAAAAACATTTTTATTCAAGAAACGGATATTTCACCTTGGCCTCAAGTGTTCTTCCGCGTAACAGTTACGCTGATGAAATATTGTGGACAATACGATATTTCCGTTTCCTGAAGAAAATTGTTTGTATTTTGCTGCCTAACTCAACGTCTTATAGTGTTAATACGACCTCATGGTATATTTTATTAATTTAAAACAAAATATATAGAAATGTTTGCAGATATTGTTAATTACAATTAGATTTTACAAATTTGTTTATTCACAGGACCGATCAAGCATTGAAACATTTCACAGGCACAAAAGAACGAATCGAATCGAAGCTTACCAATCTAAAAGGTAAGAATACAGTTTAAACTGCTAAACATTCCTCTTTACTAGTGTTTCTTACGATACATGTAAATAAGTGAGTTTATAATGCATTGAGAAATATATTTGGTGTTTTAAAGGTCTCTCACCAACATGGTTTAAAGACATCCGACAGGTTGTGGAAGAGAAGAGAATGCTGATTGGGGACATTGACGAAATACTTCAAAATTCAAAACTTGAAAACTGGGCGCTCGAGGTAATACAGTGATGATAAGTGCCACTGCAATTCTTTACATGAACCGTAGTAGAACTGTGTTCCTTTGGTCTAAGTTAATTTGGTTTAAAAATATCGTTGCCATATAGATTATGCTAAAACATATCGCCAAGGCATCGCTGTTTGTTGCTTCTTTTCTTGGTATGGAAAATTTTGCTCCAACGTTTACCTGTCTGATACCAAACATCAACTACTGACTGTTATTGTGTGAATTATATATATTTCTTTTTTAGAACATCCAGCAAAGAGAAATTGTAGCTCTGGTTCGAGATACATTAGCCAAATTAAATGAAACACTATCAAAACTTAAAGACATCTCAAGTCCATTTAAGTTGTCTCTGGATATTGTCAAGTCTCGTGTAGGAAAACTGAATGAAACCGTAGTGAATGTTTTAAAAAAAGTGTAAGTCAGAAATTAAAAGCTATAATTATAATTTTCTAAACTCATCATTTTGTTGCGATTTGGTAGTTGTTTACGAATTTAATAAGTATATATCATGTAAAATTGATTTTTTTTTCTTGATAAGGGTTGATAAAGCAAGATTTGAAATCGAAGACATTTTTGGTGTTCGATTTCATAAGAAATTTCCACGAGTGTTTCTTGAAGGAAGTGAAATATGTCCTGAAGGTGGGTTTTATCCAACTACTAATTCACAAAGATACAGCGACATGGGCATTGACCTAATTATTGAAAGTAACAAGCAGGTAAGCTGTACACGTACACTCTTTTAAGACATTAGAAAATTATGACTTATTGGTAAATTCTGCAAATTGGATACTTCGTGTGATCTAATGCAACATTTCCGGCTAAAATAACCGTAAATCTTACAATTGAATTCTGACCCTGAATTTGCAGAATTTGAATATCTCAATACGTCGCTGAAACATATTTTTGGTCTCAAATTATTGAAAAACGTGTTGCTATTTTACTATAACAGATGGATAATATTCTTTATTAAAATTTTTTGTTCTTATGTCAATATCATTAGCAATTTCTGGAGCCCAATTTTAGAGGGTTTTGTAGTCAACAATTTTGTTTACTACTTGTCTTATGATTCATTCGACCATACAAGGTAATATGTCAATCCAATCTTCAAACCTCCACCTGACATCCTTTGCATGGTCCCTAAAATATTGCCCTTAAAGGCTGCAGTTCGGATCAAATGTATATCTGTTTGTCTGCGTCCACTTTATTTACTCAGGAATAAATACACAATGACAAAAAAGATAAAGGTATTGATTTATATAGCTCACATTACAGTACCCTTTTCTCTATGCGCTCAGTGGACAAACTTACCTTCCTGTAACTTATGGGTCCCATTATGTCAGCTCGACAAGTGCTAGATCAGAGCAATCGTTCGTCAAAAAATAAATTAAGATGCAAACGGTTGAGATTGTGTACATTGGCCTATGGTTTACGGTCCTTATTTGAGAATACTTATACTGCCACCAGGACCATGAGCAAGCATGCCGGTCGACTTAACCGAAGTTTAGGAGGTTACGCGCCCCTGCTTGAACTGCTCAGTACCCACTGAACTCGCCCAACATATTCTTGCATGTAAATTAAAAAAAATAATGTTGTTATCATTTTTATTGTTATGAATTTATTGTAGGCATAATGGTTTCTTGTACTTATGCCATTATTTTATTATGATATTTTATCATTATTATCAATATAATTGTCATAATTTTCATAACTATTATTGTCATTATAATTATTAATATTTTACTGTTATTTTATTAACAATAATGTATTAATATCATTATTATTTATATGATCATTATCATAACTTTCATTATTGTTATTATATTGTTGTTGTTGTCGGTATTGTTATTTTTATTTTAAATATCACATTTTGTAATGCGTTTGCAGGTTGTGGCACCCTTATCGGGTATTCTTACTGTACTTAGTGACGAAAAAGTAAAAATTGAAATTACCGGAGGTTCATTAACTGACACGATCTTGACTATAGATAATATAAATCCGCTTCAACAGTACTCAGACGGTCCAGTTCAGGTTTGTCATTTGGATTTATTAATAACACTAGGTATATAATAAATTTAAGTAGACTACGTCAATATAATGTTAATTAAAGTTCTACCACCATCGTATTATTATTGTACTCCGTTTGATACAGGTTTACACCGGGGATGTGATAGGAACAGCGTCAGTGTCAAATTGTCAGCCTAATAATTACATTCATGTAGTGATGAAAAAACAATCAGGCACTGGTACTGAATACATCGACCCATCGCCACTGATGGAAAAATCTGAGCTTAAATGTCCTACTTTTGATTTTGAAAGGAATATAAATATCGTCAAGTACAAGGTAAGTGATATTACTCTATGCTATTTTAACAATCAACTAAGCAATTTGAGAGAATTATTTACGTCGTATTTATTTCCAATGAAATCTTCCTCTCCAATTCTATAAATAATTTTAAAAAAAAAGGTTTAAAGGTTATTCATTTATATTGCGCAAAATACGAGAGTCTCTATGCGCAGAACAAGTGAGCAGATGTAACTGAAGAAAATCCAAGTCAGCACCCAAACCGCAGAATGTGGGTACGCCCTCGTCGCTGAGCATGGATCTATCAAAGTGTACACCCTGTCCAGCACCAGTTGAGTCTCGGCCATCCCAGGACTCAGTCGTCTCCTATCCTGATAGAACTACAAAAAGCTAGCTGGCAAGGGATGGAAAAGGGGATATCAAAGAGAACGAAATAAGTGAGTTTTTAAATGAGATTTAAACAAAGAGAAGGATGGCGACTCACGAATACATAACGGTAGAGTATTCCATAATTTAGGAGCAGCAACCATGAATGAACGCTCCCCACACGACTTTAAACTGCAGGGTGGACTATAAAGTGTAGTCGAATCGGATGTTCGAGCACATGTTAAGGAGCGAGACTTAATAAGTTGAGAAATGTATTTAGAAGATAACTGATGAATAAATTTGTAAACAAGCAATACAATTTTGAAATCAATACGCTTCTTCACGGGCAACCAATGAAGATGACGGAGTACTGGTGTGATATGTTGACGTTTAGGTGTTTCAGTAACCAACCGAGCAGCAATGTTAAGAAGCAGCTGAAGTTTATTAATTGAGGTTTGAGGCAGTCCGTAGAGGACGCCATTACAATAATCCAATCTAGATGTTACTAAGGCGTGTTCAAGTTTAGAAGCAGCATCTTCGTTCAGAAAACATCTAACCTGTTTGATGTTTCGAAGTTGAAAAGATACTGTTCTGCAGATGTTATTAACGTGACGTTTCATGGACATTGTGGAGTCGAATGTAACTCCAATATTTCTTACTTCCGTAGAGGGAGTGATAAAAGTATCTCCCACACGAATGGAATTTATGATGGGCATGTTGGTACGACGTTTGGGTTTTATATACAACACCTCAGTCTTATCAACGTTGAAACAAAGCATATTAATGGACAGCCTTGATTGAACATCATCAATACATGCTTCTAGGCTGTGGATAGCATCCGTTACATTCTGCGGACTGAAAGATGTATAAAGTTGAGTGTCATCAGCATAGATATGGTATTTAATTGAGTGATTTTGGATGATTTTTCCAAGAGGCCGCATGTACACGAGGAACAATATGGGTCCTAAAGTAGAGCCTTGTGGAACACCGAAATCGACCGCTACTGTATCAGAGATAGCAGATTTAATTCTAACTGCCTGTTGTCTAGATGTTATGTACGATGAAAGCCGTGCAAGCGCTGTTGCAGTAAAACCTAAGTCAGAAAGTCGATTGATGAGTCGAATGATGGATTTAGTCTAACTGTACCGTAAATATTGACAGGAGGCGGCCACAAAGTATTTAATTATTTATAAGCCATAAAATACTCGCACCTAGGTCCTTTTACATGTATGCCTTGATATTCGAATTCATATAGTATGTCTATCTGAACAATTTGGTTTTAGAGACTCGAAATTGACTACAAATTATACAGTAGGCACATATTTCTGCTTACTTTTGCAGACTGGCATTAAACTCATGCCATAAAACATTTTTGGTAAGCTTTATCCGTAATTACGCTGATCATGATCATAGAGCTCTTATATCGTGTACTAACTAGTCACATAGAGTTGCCTGTGAAACTGTAAAATTATTGAATTTTTATTGAATATTATTGTGTTCCATACGTGTTGGATCCAATGACCGAAGCGCTCAAATGCTTTATACATGAAGCGCTATAAAAGAACGAAATGTTATAATTATTACTATTATTATTATTATTATTATTCATTAGAAGGCAGTCTCTGAATTCACTGTCGACTGTGGCAAGATCGCTTTTGCATTCCAGTTGACTGACACTGTAGTAAGTGTGTGGATGTCTGCACCGCACCACACCAAAGTGGCAAAGATTGGCGTCTGAGAGGCCGATGCGGTGCATAAATGCCTTGTACCTGACATGTCCAGAACGTAGTTTGTTTTGTTGAACCCACCGTGCTCGTGTGTTACGTCGTATTTTGTAATAATTGTCGTATTTTGTAATATCTGTCGTATTTTGTAATAAACCTTGTCGTATCTTGTAATACCTGTCGTATTTTGTAATAAACCTTGTCGTATTTTGTAACAACAGAGCTGTCGTATTTTTGTAACTCTCCGTCGTATTTTGTAATAAACTGAGCTGTCGTATTTTGTAATCAAGTCGATCGTATTTTGTAATAGCACATCAAATGCATGTTTTCTACTATAACTATACCTTTGCATTTTTTGAGGGATTAAATAAAAACTTGTGTTAATGGTTGTTTGGTATGATTATTAGATAATAAGAGGTCAGGTCGTATTTTAGAATCGCTCTTTCATTTACTGTATAAAAATACTGATGACGACCGGCTAATAGAAGTTTTCAATGTTATATATTATCCAGAAGCTGCAGAATTTAAGAATTAACTAATTGACTAATCAACCAAATAATTAATTGATGACTTAATCAAATCAATCAATCAAATTAATAATTAATTTTATCTTTTGTTTCTTGTTAGGCCTATTGTGATTAATATTTGCTAATTGATGGGACGAGTCTTTAATTGATTCTGTAAGTGAAACTAGGCCTATTTGGGGATATAGTAAAATTGTCGTGTCGAGATTCTGTTTGAGTCTACAAGAAGGGGTATAAAGTTATGATGATGGATGAGTGGAGTAGGAACAAATATAAAAATTGAGAACAAACGTTTATCCCACCTCATGGTGTACCACTGCCTTCTGGCATAACATTCCCCGATTTATCATCCTTAATCTTGAGAAAATATTACTGAAATGAACGTGGTGCAAAATTCGGCAAAAAAAATTGTTCTTTTAGCTTTCTAAAAATAAACCTCGATTCTTACTGTTACGTTTATAATAAAATATACACAAACATATTTGAATCCACGCAAAGAAAATAATTGACGATGACGTAAATATTAAACCTGTAAATTTACTATCTCAAAATCAACAGTGGGTATGTTCTCACACGGCAGCTAACGGTTAGCAGGATCCGGATCCTGTTAACCGTTAGCTGCCGTGCGTCCATACGAGAAGATCCCGATCCGGATACCAATAATATGATGATCGAATAACTGGCCAATAAGAAACTGGAAATTGTAAACGCGTAAGTGTGATTGGTTGATGATAGGAACTCGCTCAACGTGCTAACTGATAGCGCTTGCTAACCGTTAGCAGTATCCGGATACCGCTAACGGATTAGCGCTAACCGATCGGGCGTTCTCACATAGGTGCTAATGGTTATCGCTAACGGTTGGCTTCCGATCCGGATACTAGGGCTCTCGTGAGAGCCAGGCTAAAATCATAAAACAAATCGCACTATTAAATATATAGGCTATTACTGTACTGTACGCTTGTTTTTTTTTTTTTTTAATAATATCAAATTTACTACTACATTTAAACAATGTGTATCGGCTTTAATGAAATTTGTCTCTACTATATTTCATACTCTAAAATATTATTTGAATTGATACTAAGAAAAGTGTACAATACAAATAAAATATAATGGGTTAGAAAAGTTGAATAGTAATCCTCAAGAAAAAATAACGAAAGTTGATATAAACTGCAACCATTAACACAAGCTTATATTTAATCCTTCAAAAACTGCAAAGGTATATAGTAGAAAACATGCATTTGATGAGTTATTACAAAATACGACAGCTCAGTTTATTACAAAATACGACGGAGAGTTATTAAAAAATACGACAGGTATTACAAAATACGACAATTATTACAAAATACGATGTAACACTCGTGGAAGAGCATGGCCTGGTGGTTGGTTTAGCGATGAACTGACACAGTTGGCAGTCCGTCTGTTGCCAGTGACTGGTCATATACTGTGGGACCAGGTATCAACAAAAGTGTCTCCTACATCTTGTTTAAATTCATGGCAGGGACCTATACAGGGGGAGCCACGGCTCCCCCCCCCCCTTTTTTTTTTTACAGTGTTAAAATTTTAAAGCTTGTTCTTGCTGGCCATTAAAAAATCTTTCCAGGGATCATCACTCAAAATAAATATTTCGAATCTATGTAAATATGCGTCAGCACACGTTATGCATAGGCCTACTATGAACACATAGGCCTAAGGGTGATTTTTAAAAATCTTAAATCCATAAGTCCCAGGCCAGGTCTTTCAGATACAGAAATGTGATATTGTATGGTTCAGTTTGGTTTTTATCCTTTTGTAAGCTCTATAAAGTTTTGTTTTAATACTACAATACTACTAGTAGGCCTAGTAATAATAATAAAAATCTTGATGATGACGATGATGATGATGACGATGATGATAATAGATAATAATATTAATAATATTAAAAAGTGAAGAAAATTGTGCTAAAGGCGAAAAAATAATCTGTGATTTGTTGATCACAATTATTATAGTATAGTTAAAGCTTGCTATAGTAAGGCCTAAGTTGTCTTGGATATTAAGTAAATCCCTGATAAAAGATCATGAGAAATTTGTTGGCGCTTCATTTTGTCTATATTATAATGATGATGTGATGATGATAAATTTACTATATAAAACTGTCATTTCCGACCATCTTGGTAGGCCTACTATTTCTTCAAATTTCACATCACAGCCCCAACCATGGTGAGGTTGAGATAGTTGTGAATTCAAGGCTTTGGAGTTTGTAAAGTGCGTACTCAAAAACAATGTTTATAAGCTTTATTTTCTATGGTACATCACACATATTAATAAGATCTCTATGGTTGCCGAGAATCCATGATAAAAGATCATGAGAAAATTGTTGGCGCTTCATTTTGAGTATATATAATGATGGTGATGTGATGATGATGATAATTTTAATAAAAATGTCATTTTCTGGTCATATAGAGGTACTATTTCCTCAAATGTTCGCACCTCAGCCCCAACGATGGCGAATCTGAGGTTGGTGTCGACTCACGAAATATCCCCCTCCCACCTCCACCTTTAAACACAGATTGCGCCCTTCCTGGTATGATATCAAACTCCATCGAGTCGACACCTGACTCAGAGTATGTCTTAGTGACTTCTGATGAGGCGAGAATGTGATCTAGTTTTTACATGCCCATTTTTATTTTAGATAAAGAATGTTTTGAGCAGTAGTGGATTCAAGGGCCCCTCTCCCTAAATTGGTTTAATTAAAAAAAATGAAAAATATAGGCCCCCCTATCCAAAGCCTGAGAGTGTAATTTCCGGGCATCTTGGGGTGCCTAATCTTAGGAATTTTCCTACGTACATCGCATAACGGCTCCCACACCTCCTCCTTTCATAATCCTGCCTGCGTCCCTGATTCATGGAACAATTAGGGGAGTGTGTAGTGGGATTTTAATCTTCTGGTTGTTCAATAAATGTTTCAAATTTAATTAATTTTGTCTACTAAAGAATCATTCCCTTCGGTTATGTGTACTCGACTAGTATTTTGTTATTTCTCATTGTTTAATGATACTTTTCTCTTTTATTTGCAACAAAGCTCCTGCAAGTTTCGCATCAACAATTGGACTACCAGAACCAACTGCCGCCGGTCCTCAATTTAATTCTAACAGCTTCAATGATATACCCATGTGCTCAGTTATGGAAGCAATTAGTCTTTTGAATGACGATGAACTGAAGCAGAAAGTAATAGATACATTTACTGCATTTAAGGTACAATCAAATTGACCTAACAAAGTATATTGATAATACTGTACTTTCATTCGATTTACTATCAACACTACACAGTTCTGATTGCTGACAGTGTACTTTGAGGAACGCTTCACATGTTTGCCAACTGTGGTTGGCGGACGCAGAAAAACAGTCAGTTTTAAACGTTGTCAAAATTGCATTAATTTTTCACACCGTAGTATACAAAAAAACCGGGCACCACCGCCGCCAGCAGGTCAGTCCGGAACGTGGGCTACGTGGGCAGCGCAATAATTTTCATGTGCATATGTCTTACAATGATGCTCTACCGTTCCAGATTGTCACAGATTTAAAACTCAATCATGTTCTGTGCCACGGACGTCGTGGTCTGAAATAGTTGATGGGTTTAGAATGATTTATAAGAGATCGGGATAAAGTGGGGGAAAGTATCCTCGGTATTGTATAAAGTAGAAATGTATACAAAACGTTTCGAAGACTAACACTAATGTGTTTAAAAATCATACCAACTACTCGGTTAATTTAATTCTTAAACACCTTGCTCTTTGGCATTCTGATTTTTAGTATATTTTAATGTGTATTTAAGCGTATTATCGGTGGAAACAATTTCCATGTGTCTAATTAAAATCGAATTGCATCTTGTATACATTATATATCTTGTTTTGTAAACTATATTTAAAATTGCATTTCAAATGTAACTAAAAATGTTTTAATTGATAGGATGAAATTAGTGGATTCAAGTCATTTCTACCTAATTCGCTTACCGATGATTATGTAAGAACACTTCTACAGGAACGAAGTTTATCTATTGAGGGCTCTAGAGAAGAGCTAATGGCAAGATTTGGCCAACCAGATGATAGTAAGAAATAATTCTTTTAGTGAAAATGATTTTGTAAATGTTATACACTTGTCTATCCTATTATTACAGTTGACCTCCCTGTGTTTTGAATTGCATTTTGTATTTTCTACTTTATAATTGTGTTTAAATAATAATGATTTATATAATCAGAAGAAAACAATTAACCGATTTATGCTTTTGAAATACTATCCGTAGTGTGTCCCTTGTTACTGGTTGCTGTTCAGCGGTCCTCGTATTGCCGTTTTGAGCAAATCTGCTTGGGTGTTGAATGTCAGATTCCTATTAAGTTGAAGTCCAATGTATATCCACTGAAAGTGTTCGTCCGATACCTTCCTGACACAGAAGAACTTCAAGTTGGAATAGGAGAACACATTATAAAGACGACGTTTTTAGATCCAGTTGGTATGAAACAGTTTCAATGCTAGTTTTGAAGGCTTAAAACTTAAAACTTATGCAATTAATTATTTATTACATTATTTTTTTATTTATTATTTTTTATTTATTATAGGCACATGGGCTATGAATTACCGTAAGTAAACTTAATTGCTGTCATACTAATAAATGACAATCCCTTGTACAAGGTAGTCATGCAAACAAGATCCTCTACATAAACTAAATCTCATTATGAGGCTTGGGAGAGGAGTTCTTGGTCGTAACAATATCGACAAGAATTACTTAGTTACTAGACAAGAACTTACATAGTTCGAATCATACGGTAATGTGTACAATTTGATAATTGGTTTCATTAAAAACATTTAAACAAATTGATTATTTATTAAATTATATATTATATTTTATAGTTTTTATTCCTTATTTCTTATATTTAGGCTTTTGGGCTAGCTTCAGGTTTTTTTTTTTTTTTTTGTAAAGTTAAAATTGATATGACGACTTTAGATTTGAGTGAGATAGAAACAAATATTAAAGCATATTGCCAAAAAATCTAGAAAATATTCCATTCTGATTTCTAGAGATATCAAATGAAGTGGTTGTTTTAGAAGGTGGTTGGAGAAAACGTAACCAAGAACTCATTGTTAGGTAAGATCCAATACGTTTAACCTTGGTAAGCAATTAAATAAGTTTAATACACAGTAGAGAATGGGACTCAGCATAGAGTACTTTTTCTCATAATCAATTACGCAGACGTATATACCTTTATTATTCTGTCTATATTCATATATATATATATATTTATTCTGGATAAATCATTTGGCTTATTTATTGAGGCTTGCCTCTAAAATTTAGTTTTGGCCTTCCTGTTTACTTGTTTAGGCTGTTTATTCTAATCTCACCCAGCCTATTGTTTCTAATCATGCTTGCATGAAATTCTCACTTCATACCATCTAGCTTTTTCTACCCTCACTCACTCGCC